ACACACACACACACACACACACACACACACTCACACAGAGCAGTCATTATGAAGGTCTTTTATGTGTGAGTCATGACTTTTCTCTCGGGAACTGATTATCACTTTCTCTCTCATATCTTTCCCTTTGTCCTGACCTGTTCCAGCTTAATTGAGGATGAGTGATTATCTCAAAAGTTCGTATTTAGCCTCTTAACTCCATGCTAATTTTCTCACTTGCAATCTATCAGGATAGCTAATGTCATCCTCAAAAGAATATGATACCTAATAGATAAATAAGAAAAACGGCAACAACCTATTATTCTCATTATCATTTAATTTCCTTTATTGATCAATGAATTGCTTGGAAGGCAGATCATGTGTGGAGTTGGTGGGTTTGACTCAATAGCTTCAAATCTATAACCTGCATGAAAACACACTTCTGCCTGCTTTTATGAGCCCCTTATCATAACATAAATGTCCTCATGGGTGTTCATGTTTGAGCAGCCCATGAGGGTCTGCTTCAGAGTCTATTCTAGTAAAACAAGATGAAAGAAGAAAAGGCTTCAACCAACATGTTGGCGGTGGTATTATAGTTCAACCCCACCTTCATCCTCTCTGCCTTCTGCTCCTCTCTGCTCTCCAACATCCAGCCCTGTGAGTCCACACCTCTGATTCACATCCACCTCTCACATTCAGTTCCTTTCTCATTGTTCTTTTGGTTCATCCCTGTTTCATCATAACATCCCTCATGTGTTTTTCTATCCTCCCTCTCCTTTCTATCACTTTCAGACTCTCTCTTTTCTCAACCATCTTCTTTCGTATTTCTCTGGATCTAAAGGATGTCGTTGTCAGTCTGTTGGTTCGTTGTTGAAATGTGGTTCTGACTGAAAAATAGTTCAGACAATTGTTGGATGGATTGACATGAAATGTTGGACAGATATTAGTGTGCCCATTCGTCTAACTTTTCCTTTAGAATGAGGTTGCTTGCTATTTGTAGGTCAGAATAAAACATCTTAAGAACTGACATGACATTTGGTAAAGTTATTCAGTGTCCTCAGAGGATATGTACCCTCATTTTTTGTCTAGCACCACCAGTATCAGATTCATATATTTGCTTTTCAACAAAAAACGATTGGATGTATTGCCAGGAAACGTGGTACACATTCATTAAGCCCTCCCTTAAGGATCTCCTGGAATCACTTTGGGGACCTTATCTCTAAGGCCAGCATCAGGTCACATTGTTGTATTTGTTTCAGAACAAAATCCTGCAAAACTAATGGCATTCCAACAATATATCATTTGTGATAACTTCTAATTATAAAATGAGACCATGCTAAGATGCTTCACTTAGATGTGTTAGCATGTAGCATGGCATTGTATGTTATGTGCTTTTCCTCCCATGTGTTAAAGCACATTTTTAATTGCCTTTCTTTCTTTTTCCCTCTTGTTAATCCCTCCTTCTCGTCTTGTCTCCATCTGATCCCCCCCCCCCCCCCCCCCCCCACCTCACTGCTTCCCCTTTCGTCCTCTCCCCTCTCCTTCCTCGTTAGCTTCCCCTATCGTTGATTACTCAGCAATATGCAAAAATATGAATTGTTCACTTCCCTTTATTATCCTATCTGCCTTTGGTATGTCTTTCTGGTTGGTCAGCTTTCTGACAGGACTATACCAACGTTGCTTTTTTCTCTATCTCGCTCCTTCTCTGTCTCTGTGCCCTTGTCTCTTTCACTCATCAATTCCCTCAAACAATTTGGTTTTTGACTCCTCTTCTCCTCCCTCGCTGTATAATCTCTTTTGTTAGTCTCGTGTTTGCTTTAACGTATTCACTTTTCTTCTATATCTCCAGCACTCCTCTAAATGGTCAGAAACAGATTTATATAAGCATCATTAACTTTGCGTAACATTTGAAAGAGGTTTGATAACCTTTCTGAAGCTTGCAATTCATCTAGCTGTAGCAACTTTATAAAAACACCCCAAGCTCAAGAATTGGATTTTTATTTACTTTCCTTTATGCATTTTAGACTCTATTTGCTCCACTCCATTTATCGTATGGCTGTAGTTACGATTCACTACCAATATTAAGATTTGACATGCAAAACATAGAATGAGATAACAAGACACAACGTGATAATCATGATCCTTTATTTGTCCTTGCTTGAGTTATACAATCTAAATGTTGTTCCTAAATGTTGCTTCATAATCATCTGGCTTCTCACTCTTTCTTCATGACTGTGAACAGAACTTTTATTGCAAGTTTTAGAGGCTGAAATGCTCCCAGATTCAACGGCCACTCATGAACTCAGTGTGTGAGTTGTGTGAGAAGTAAAGAGACACTAAAACAGAAAGCAGACATTTAGCTTCCTAACTGAAAAAATGTGTAGTTTCAAAAGCTTCATATTCTTGCTACAGTAGATCAAGTACATTTTCTTTCTGTATTGCCTCTAAATGGCACAGACTGCAGTAGGTAGAGAGTGATCCACTGGCAGCAAATAAGTGATACCTAAATCAAGGAAATTCTTGAAGAAAATGTCATTGCAGAAAAAGTCTCCCACTGCTGCCACGCTTTTATCTTCCAAATCAAATAAGTTGTGAGGACATGAAAGTCAGATTCTTTGCCAAAATCCTTTTGTCTCTTTTTTCTGTTACATTGTGTTGTAGCCCTTCTTCTTCTTTTATTCTGCCTTCCTGTTCCTTGTCGATCTGGACAGCTGGTAGTTTTAGCTCAGCGTCCCACGAGGAAAGTCTTGACATTTGTGTCTAACACTTTTCGTGCCTCGCCACAAACACACACACGAGCTCCATTTACAATTTAAAACACCCTCATTATCTTGTACTTGGTATTCATCCCGAGCAAGACTAAAACAAACAACAACATGATACTGATTCTTTTTTCATATGAATGTTTGGACCAAAAACCTTCATATGAAATGATATCTTGTACAGTTTTGTTTTCAGATTACTAGTGCAATGGTCATTCTTTTAAAAGTACTATATTTCTGTCTTGAATGTAGTGAATTAACACTACATACAAAAATAGCAAGTCAAGTAGAAAATACCTAAATACCTTATACTTTAGCTTAACTAATGTATGATACATGTGTTTGGTATTTCCACAGCTGACTCTTCTGCTCGGTCACTCCTCTGTTGTTCAATGTATCCGCTGTTTTTCCCTGCCATTTGTCATTCTGCTGTTTGGTTCGGTGTGGAGCTGTCCAGAATGTAGTGGTGCTGAAAATCCTGAAACAGTGTTCAAAGCCAACCAGGAGCCACCAGGGACAGATCTGTTAACTTGCTCAGCTTGCACTTGAGTACAGCGCTGCATCACTGATGCTCTGAAGTGGCTCCTCGGCTCTCTCAGGAGCAAAAGAGTGCATAGTTTATCGCATGAAGAGCTGCTGTCTGTATAGAAGACGTGCATTGACAAGCAGTCTGCTGTATAGGGTTAGAACAATTAATTAGTTTACTAAGCATATTGATGGCTTTGTAAAGTGCCTTTGCTTGAAGGAAACACTGTTGGGTATTTCGATTTCCACAGATGTTGATTAGTCTCAGCAGCTATAGTGTAACAAGACTTGGAAATCTTATTGATTGACAATACAGAAAAAATACAATATGCTGGACATAAAGTTCAACCCTTGTTTGCTTGGCTAAGTTTCTACTGATGGAAGCTTTAGAAGAAAGGTAATGGCAACATTAAAATCGTATTTTATGATACGATATATCAATGTGCTCAATAACAGTCCTGAAAAATCTTTGTCTAATAGACTTTGGTATTGCTTGTGTAAAAGTGGTAACACAAGGTAGGTCAAAAACAAGGCCAAAACACAGCAATTCCTCCTCTAGGTGCATCAAATAACCATACCAAATGTCATGATAATCTACCCAGTTATCGCCCTACATTTTGGTCATACAAAAATGAAGATATACAATGGGATCAGTGCATGTGTATCAATGGGTCTGTCATTTTCAAGGTTTTGATGTGGATAGGGCCTTTTTTTCTGTGTTAAATAGCTCAGTTAAAGTGGACCTATCATGCTATATTTGAATAATATATTGTAGGGCCATACCTATATAAAACATGTCTGTGAAGTTTTTTTTTCAAAATACCAAACAGATCATGCATTTTAGCCATGCCTCATTTCGCTCCATTTGCTCTTTTCCAGCCCTGTTTTTGCAAGGGCTGATTCTGTGAGAAGTCTTCTTCGCTGCTTTTGTGGCAGACTACAGCGCCACTTACAGGCCTGGCATATGTACTACAGCGTCTCCTGCGCTTTCGAGCGGCAATGGCCGTGGCCCAACCCCCCATTCCCCTGATAGGTGGAGAGTTGCCCATATAGGCGGAGCACCCCTTTTCTGACGTCAGAAAAATTCAAATCTGTATCAGCTCCGTTGCAGCTCCGTTTTTAGAGATTTGGGTATGGAGGAAAAGAGAGAGGGTTGTGTTTTCTGACACTTGGTGAGTTCCCTGACACACCGGGGACACATATTCATGTATAAAAGACGTACAAAAGTGCATTTTGCATGATAGGTCCCCTTTAAGTAATATGTGTCACTATGTATGACCATATTATTGCACTATAGTATAATACTAACGCCATAGTGCAACTGCTCAGAGTGAAAAACTGACATGTTTCATGCGCCAGGAAGCATCTGAGGCTTCAATCATCTTGGCGTTACAGCACAGGCAGGATGTCTGAAAGTCTAACAAGAGTCTGAAAGCTGAAAATGAACCGCACAAGTGGGATCATTTATACATGAGGTGTGAATAGTATGTCATCATGCGGTGAGGGTTAGAAGTACTGCATGTCTGTAACTGCAGCAGTCTGTTCCCATAGAGACCAGAGTTTGTTGGACTGATGCGGTTCGGAGGCCTGGATACAGCCGGGGAGGAAACTTACTCCGTACAAACTTCTGCAGTTTCTCTTTGTCTCTGATTTATTCATGTCTTCTCTTTCATCCTCACATTGCAGTGTCTCTCTGGGAATGATGATGTTGCCACTTGTGCCGCCCTCTCTGTCGCCATGACGATGCCGTTCAGCCCCCTGTCCAGCGACGAGGAGCACCAAAGGATGCTGGGAAACAATCGACATCTCTATCCAGGGGCAGAGAACGAGGAAGAGGAGGAGGAAGAGGAGGAGGAGGAAATGGAGGAAGAGGAGCGTGAGGAAGACCAGGAGGAGGAGAATGGCGAGCTGGAGGGGGAAGAGGAAGACTATGAAGCGGAGGTGGTGGAGGAGGTCAGGCGAGGCGGCGTGTCGAGGGCAGGCAGGGCTGAGGGACACAGGCAGTCAGGTAAAGTGGCCGGACGACCCGCGGACGACAGACAGGTCCGGACAGGGAACCCTGGACACACCGCAAACCCCTACTCGTCCAATCCGGGACCCACGCACCAACCGCCAGCCAATCACGTTCAGCCGCAGCAGCCGCCGCAGCAGAGGAGGCTGAAGGAGCGCAGCACCGGCTCCCTTCCATCTGAAGACACCCACATTGCTATGATGGTGTTCCGCATTGGCATCCCAGACATAAAGCAAACGGTCAGTGCTGTCCCCACACTCCCACAAATCTGTCAACGTCATGGCAACTATCTATGATAAGTTCACACCTCACCTCACAGTCATCATCAATAAACCAGTTATGTTTATCAATTTCACCACTTAGGAAACAACAGCCTCTAACATCCCTGGATAGGTACTATAATAGTATGTTATACTATAATATATTGTACTGTAAATCAATATGACAAAGTATATAAAATATGATAGCAGTAGATATAACATAATACTGTTGAGAAGATGACAAGATTAAAAGGCCAAAGCAAACCCACAGCATGTTAGCTAAGATGAGGACAAACAGTGCTAACAGAGGTACAAGCTCTGTCCAATGGTAACAGAATCCACCTGCCAGCACCTCTAAGGCTCACTAACATGTTGTATTCTGTCTGTTTAATCTTTACCAAAACAACACTTAGCTGTTTTATAGGGGTGCTCTGTGCCGGACCTTTTGATGACTGCAGAGCCAATCTAACTGTTCCCAATGTCATGTGCTTGTCTTAGCTATCTTGCTGCTGGCTGTAGCTTCATATCTACTGTCGAGATATGTGAATGCTCCTGTCTAACTCTTGGAAGAATGTAAAAGTTTGACCCACAAGTAGCTTTTAACTTTTCCTTCACTATAAATGGTGTGCCTAAGTGATCATGGGCCTGTTTCAGCAAGGATGTATTCATAAAACTTTGAATAGGAGTGCGTGTTTATCATGAATTATGAAGTGTGGGCTCTGGTACTTTGAAGAGTTAGGTCATCAAGGAGCCATGTGTCTGTGCCCTAAGGCCCATCATTTCCTAAGCTAACCATGAGTGTAGGTCAATTCAGTCAAAGTGTGCACAAATATGCTCAAAAAACACTGCAAGTCCTTGAGGATATTACACAGATCTCCCCTTTTTTCTATTGCTTACTTTTTCTCCTGCACCACCAGCAGTTAAGTGAGAGAAGGGCAAATACTCGTCAGCAAAGTGAGTGATCTGAGAGGCTGAGAGAGACTTTTCAAGGTGACCCACCTCCAGAGAGAGACAGAGCCAAACCTCAAGAGCAGTCGCGATGAGGATATGTGGGCTAGAATTTGATTTTAAAAACACTCCAAGCCAGAAAGGATTTCGAGGGAGTCAAACAGGGGGGAATTGAAGTGGAGAGCGGTGTCTAACAGAGGGGATGCCTCTGGCTTTGTGTTGAGAAAGAGCTTTTAAAATGTTGCTATACAGCTGCTATGATAAGCCTTTTTCTGGTTTAAAGAGAGCTGTCCAGAATCATGATAGATATATCCTACATTGCTCTTCATTTCCCAGTTGGGTTCTTACATCATATCAGTGTGAAAGCTTCCATCAGAAGTGGGTCTAAATCAGCTTTACGGGGTAGGGCTGTGCGATTATGGCAAAAATCATTATCACGATTATTTTGGTCAATAATTGATATCACGATTATTAAATACGATTATTCATTGGCTTTGAAAACGTCAATTTATTGAACTTTAAAACAAATTAAAATAATAATTTGAACAGTTTAACTGTTGATTACCCTGAACGTATAATTCAACTGAAAAACCAATAAATGAAATAAATGATACATTTATATTTACATTTAAATAAATAATACTTAAATAATAAATACCAATAAACAAGATCAACAAATATTTTGGAGCGCACTTCAACAAGCTACTAAACATATATAAATATGATAAATAAATTAGACTATAAAATCAATTAGATCAAATATGTTGCAGTGCACTGTCACAACCTAGCAAAGCAAAATAATCGTTTTTTTTTTTCCGATTATGTTGTTTTTGTAATTGTGGCAGGCCAAAATCGTAATTGCGATTAAAAAAACGATGAATTGCACAGCCCTAGTGGACAGCTGCATCCATGTGCACTACGCTATTCTCCCACTCTTGAAAAATAACTCAGTTTCTAGTTGACGTACACACAATCTTTTTCCCAATGTATGTATTTGTGATATGTTCAAATGAATGGTCAGTAGTAATTCCTTGTAATGATAATAGAGGGGATGCAAAGGAATGATTCTGCATCCCAGTGTGTGATTTCTGTGCAGAAGAAATCAAAAAGGGTATGAAGAGCAAGACAAGGGAGGACAGAGGAGAGAGAGTGGATCTTTGATCATTGCCAGAATAAAGCAGAACCAGACTGCCATTGTGTTCAACAAACAGAAGGCTGCTTTACTCAGACATTCGCGCTCGGTTCTCTTTTCTCATTTCATTAAAGCCATCAAGGCTTCTGTAATCTGTCAATTATAAGCCATCAGCAACAATGAAACTGTGAAATGAAGTACATTTATTTGGGTTTATATTATATTTACCAACCCAGTGGACTTTAAAGGCCTCGCTCAACGCTTATTCCACCCTCTTGCTGCTGTGTGATTTATTATTGATCGGTGCATGGGTGTTTTCAGCAGTGTGTGTGTATGGATACACTAGTGTGCTTGTGTTTTCTTTTAAACCCAGCTATAAATAATTCACCACTCTATTTATTCTAACAAATCAGCATCAAAGTTTAATTGCAAGAAGATGGATAAATGGGATTGCTTGGGAGTAGAATGCTCATTCATGCTCACAACCTCAGAAAGAGCTTGGTTGTCACATAGAGACACATTGAGATGGATGGATGCAGAGTGGGGTATACGTGTTAGGAAGTAGAGGCAGAAGGAAGTGGAGCAGGGTAGATACAGTACACGTACAAAGAAGAGGAAGTAGATAAAGGGATGGAGGTAAACACTGATGCATATGGAAGTAGATCAATGTTGAAAAAAGCTAGTTGAGTAAAGTGAAGCAGGCAGAGTAAATAACAGGGAAATGAAATTCAAGTGCTAGAAATAGAACTAGTGAGCAGCCAACAGGAAGAATGTGGTTGCTGACTGATACAGACTTTTTAACCTGACTATAAGCATTCCTTTATGTAGATTTCCTGTATCTTTGAATTGAAACATTTTACAATTGTAAATATTCTCTCTTTTACAATAGGTACTGTGTGTGGCAAAAACTAATCTCATAGAGTTTCAGTACCGTAATCATCACTAAAATAATGATGTAATATTTGTGCAATATGCTCATTTACTTTGAGAAGATAATAACATAAGCTTTCAAAAACCTCCCTGCTGTTTCAGATCATTTAAAAAATCAAATACAAATGACTCAGTGAAGTAGGAGTTAAGTTATCATAGGAGGACGAATTCACATTTCTCTCTCTGAATCTTTTACCGGACAGGTTTTTATATAAACTCTGTTTGGTCTTTGTGATTGACAAGGAGGTTGAAATGAAACGTTGATTCTTTAAAAGATAGTTTATTTCAATGCTGACGGACAATACTGATGGGGAAAAGGCAAATCAGGGTGTCAATGAACGGATTGGTCTGACAGTACATTCTTTTTTATTATCTTTTTCTTCACATGTGAGTCAAACATGCAGATAAACGTTTACATAATAGCACTAAATGTGACCTTAAAGACTTCCTTCCAAGATGAGCTAACTTAGTGCATTTGTTTTGTTACCCATGGTAATGAGAGTCAAAAACCCATCATCAACACTGACATTTACCGACTCACTCTCCTCCTGTCCTGACTCAACATCTTAGTCAATGTTTGACGCATCATGCACATTCAGAATAAAAACCCCTGGGATTTTATTTTGTCCTACTGTTTCATCTCCTGCCCTCCTCTTCCTATTGGGTATTATCCCTTTCCACTCCTAGTACATTAAGTTGTTCTACATGTCAGCTAATTCCCCCTCAATAAACTCTTAATTGCTCGTTAATTGTGTTGTGATGAGTCAAGGGAGTGGCGTTAGCACGCAAATGCAAATGTTATGAATTTGTGGGGAGGATGGTGAATGACGTAAGAGCTTTCACTCGCAGTTATTCAGAAAATACAACACTGGTAATTAATGTTATAATCACTTTTGGGCAGAATATATAACTCTATGTAAAATGATTACAAATGAGTGTTCAAATCAAATCAAATCAAATCAAATCAGGTTTTATTTATATAGCACATTTAAAAGCGATTTTTGGTCGAGCCAAAGTGCTGTACATGTAATAAAAACACATTACTACAAATCACAATAAACGACAATAAATTACAACAGATATATCTTAAAAACAAAATAAAAATAAAACACACGGAATAGTCAGGAGTCGTGCTCCGCTCTAACTAGAAAGCCAGAGAGAAGAAGTGTGTTTTTAGTGTAGATTTAAAAACCCCTAGGGTCTGGGCCGACCTCACATGGAGGGGCAGAGTGTTCCAGAGCCTAGTGTTGAGCATCACTGAAATGATCCAGCTTGATGCTGTTTCCACATTTACGTGACAAATGTATCTTACGATTCCAGTGGGACTGCTGTGCTTCAGGAAGCATTTATATTTAAGAATACTTTATATTTGGGGCTGATATTGTAAAGAATATTAAAAAAAATTAAGATCTGTTAATATATGATCAATATTCTTTTTAGGCACTGACATAGTTCAATTCCAACATTATTTCGAATGATCCCTCAATAATAAAGTTAATAAAGATCTGCTGAATATTTGCATTGATAGAGGCACTTCATTGCATGAAGAACACAGACAAAGAATTGGACAACAGCTTTTAAGCATTTGCAATTCTGAGCCTTTTCTATGCCTTCAATTCACCAGGATATTTTCTGGCATGGCAATAATAACGCCCTCTGACCTTTGTCATGAGATTTCTAAGGAGCCCTCAGAGGAAACATCTGGTGAAACGTTCTTCCTCCCCTCAGTGGGACCTACCTTTGCTTCCTTCAAAGTCTCCTATCAGAGCCATACAAGCGTAATTGGGGGGGGGGGGGCTCTCTGGAGACTCCGTCACTCAGGGTGTCACTGCTGGTGCCCTGACGGAGAGACCCAGTCAGTGATCTGTGTACTATCAGTCTGATACATTTGTCAAGAGGAAAAGTGGGCCATTACTACATGTGGAACAAATCTGGGATGTCATACTTAGTTTGAATAGGTCAAGCTGAA